GGACACCTGGAGTGAAGATCTAAAGTATTCAGGTTAGAGAGTGTATTCAACATTTGAGGTTTTACTGTATATTAGAAAAATATAGGAATTTAGCTTAATTTATACATAGATTTATCAATGATATTACTCAAAATTCACAAATAAATCTAAATAATACTCTATATGAAAGATTAAACATTACTATGTTCACTGGGTGAATATGTTAAACTAAATTTTTAAACAAAAAAGAAAGAGCCTGTTTATTAATAAATTAATATACTTTAAATTAAATATAAAGTTTAAAAAATGAATGATTTTCAAACAAATATAAGTAAAATTTCAGTTCATTTTTACTCCAAATACAACTACTAGAATTAAAACTGACAATGAAAAATCTGACAAAACATTTAGCATAGATGTTTTCAGTATATAAAGCATTCTGTATAATCAGGAAACAAATAAATTATCACTTTCAGTTGTAGAAATTATTTCTAATGTATAATTTTCAAGCATTAATCATAAAAGAAAATGCAATGCAGTCAAGAATATATAAAATGTATAGTCAAGTATATATATGCTGGTATTTCTTTATCTCACTATGCAGTAGCACTTCTCAAACTGTGTTCGGGTCATTCTAAGTTAAGAGGTACTCACTGGTTAAGAGATGTGGCCACGACATAAATGTTAGAAATTTAATCTAAATATGTAACATTTTTATCGAAATAACTAATTTGTGCATATCTGCAAGGTGGCCAGTCAATTTATTTATTTTATCTTGTTTTATGAATGACCAGGGGAGATACTCAATACAGGGGAGAGACTAGGTGTACAGTACAAGGTACGATACTTTATGAACAGGGGAGAGAGAGACTTTAACATTGCTTTATGAAAGAAAATAGACTTTTTTTTAAGAATCAACTTTATTTATTCATTTTATAATTATTAAATTATCAGACTGTTTATTTTCAAGCAGCCTGTTAATATCTTCATTCTGAGGAGGTGGTAGTAGCAGTGGGTCTTCATTATCCGAACTAGGAAGGGTTGTGGATTCATTACTTATGATTTGAAGTGCTAAACGACATCTACGATTCTTTGCTTTTTCTCTTCTCAATTTTCTAGCTTCTCGCTGTTCTTGGGGGGTCATTTGGTTCACAGTCTTAACAATTCCTTTTTCTTTTTTCTTTTGATACTTTTCATGTTCTTTAAGTTTTTGTAGTACGTATTTGTCAGGGTCATTTTTTATGCATTGGTACCTTAATCTTTCTGCTACACGATTTTTTTCTAGGCGTTCTTCATGTGCCATTTTTTCCTTGCTAACATATTCTGTAAAAGACATATTATACCATAATTAAATGTATGAGATAGGCTAAAAGAGTAAAAATGTATATTGACTAAATTACGGAACGACAGTTCACGTGTTATCCATAAAAATACTATGATCTGACGTTTTTATATCTCCCCTGGAATCTTAAAAGGCAGGGGAGATATGACAAAGAAGATAATTTTTCATTAGAAAACCGAAATAATCGTAAGAGTATTTATCGTACACAATTAACAAATAAATATGAGAATCTATGCACAAATAACAGTAAATATACAAATAAAATAAAGTTCTTAGATAAATAATCACAAAATAAAACTTACCAGGGGAGAGATCACTTCACTCTTTCACAACTGTACCCACAGAGTAACGTTACCGAAATCACTGAGAAAATTGCTGCGTGGTTAGCTCGCTTGATGCTTGCTGCTAACTTCACATCCAATGAAATGTGTTCAAGGTCACAATTTCCCGCGACAAAGTAAACAAACATCGTTTTTTGACAAATACAAAATGCCAGGGGACGAGACGCGAAAAATGCGGGACAAATTAGATGTAAATATTTTTTTATGAAAAAGAAATATTACGTAATTTTACTTGTTAGATTACAATAATTTACTTATCCCATTTTATTAAAATGAATGATTTTCATATTTCATTACATTTCTATCTATTTAAAATTACTGATACACGAACAGAATCGGTTAGGAGACAGGCCAGGAGAGATATGTTTTTCATGTTTGAAGTACTATTGTGACTAAATTAGTATATTTAAGTAATGAATTTAAGTGACCATAAAGAAGATGGTGAGTTTTGAGAGATGATAACATTATTTCAAACAAATTTTTGAAAAAAATGTGATTTTTTCTCATGGACGTTGAAAGTACCTCTTAACTTAGAATGACCCGTTCACAAACCAACTTTTTTCCCCATTTCAATCACTTGCACATTTTATTTAATTTCACAAAATATACTGAGTATAATTTGTGAAATTAAATAAAAATAATTATAAAGCTCAGAAAATTATGTTTATATGCATTTTTCTCATTTATTTTAATTTTTAGACTGAATATCCAAGAAAAATTGAATAATCAAATAGTTCTAATCATTTTGAAAAAAACAATCTCTGGGCCACTTTAAACAGTTTTAAAAATAATCAATAAAATTTATAAAATTTTTAGTAAAATCTCATTGAAATCCATAAGAAATGATTTCTGGACCAATTTGAGCAACACTTACAATCGTTAAGTAATAGTGTCGAAAAATATTTCCCATCAGAAAAAACGACATTTGAAATAAATTTGTGGATAAAAAAACCTTTTCATAATATATGATCAGTGGCGTAGCGAACGTAACTGGCGCCCCCTCCCCCTTTTCAGAAACACATATAGTAATATAATATATTGAATTTACTCGTGATAAGAATATAATGCAAATAATAATAGAATGTAGTACCTACATAAAATATCTATAATATATTACGAATAGTCATTACCTAAATACGCTTCTACAAAATGCTGAACTGTTTTTCGGGATAGAGAGACAGGTTCAGGTTAGGCTTTAAATTTGAGACAAAAAAAATCTAGTTAAAAAATCAAGACTAGGATTGGATTCGGAAATGTGTCTGTGTCAGAAAAAAAAAGCGGACATACTAATCTATATATATATTTATTTTACATATTTATATAATTGTCTTAAAAACACAGTTTTTAAACAACAAACAAAGTTAATATATATATTATATATACTGTAAGTAGATATATTTATTAATAATAATTTAATATTATAATACATTAATACAAATAAGTACTATGTATTGCTAGATCACTTAGGCGATTTTGTCCCATCGTCGATCCTAGATATGTGAAGATTAATTTTATTTGCTGAAAGAATGTTCACAGCTAGCAATTGATACTGAAATAGTAAGGAGTATTTGAAGTACTCCCAAATTTACAAAATTAGATTACAAATTTTATTTAACAAAGAAAATACTACGTGTTCAGTCCTAAGGTCAGAGTTTACTTCTTAGAATGACTGTGGGTGGTACTCTTCCCTACCTGCCTTTGGTGGGGTAAGGTGGCTGTTTTGCCTGTTTGTAAATGAGGGTAGCCATTTTGTATTTTATTTTGACTCNAAAATCTCATTGAAATCCATAAGAAATGATTTCTGGACCAATTTGAGCAACACTTACAATCGTTAAGTAATAGTGTCGAAAAATATTTCCCATCAGAAAAAACGACATTTGAAATAAATTTGTGGATAAAAAAACCTTTTCATAATATATGATCAGTGGCGTAGCGAACGTAACTGGCGCCCCCTCCCCCTTTTCAGAAACACATATAGTAATATAATATATTGAATTTACTCGTGATAAGAATATAATGCAAATAATAATAGAATGTAGTACCTACATAAAATATCTATAATATATTACGAATAGTCATTACCTAAATACGCTTCTACAAAATGCTGAACTGTTTTTCGGGATAGAGAGACAGGTTCAGGTTAGGCTTTAAATTTGAGACAAAAAAAATCTAGTTAAAAAATCAAGACTAGGATTGGATTCGGAAATGTGTCTGTGTCAGAAAAAAAAAGCGGACATACTAATCTATATATATATTTATTTTACATATTTATATAATTGTCTTAAAAACACAGTTTTTAAACAACAAACAAAGTTAATATATATATTATATATACTGTAAGTAGATATATTTATTAATAATAATTTAATATTATAATACATTAATACAAATAAGTACTATGTATTGCTAGATCACTTAGGCGATTTTGTCCCATCGTCGATCCTAGATATGTGAAGATTAATTTTATTTGCTGAAAGAATGTTCACAGCTAGCAATTGATACTGAAATAGTAAGGAGTATTTGAAGTACTCCCAAATTTACAAAATTAGATTACAAATTTTATTTAACAAAGAAAATACTACGTGTTCAGTCCTAAGGTCAGAGTTTACTTCTTAGAATGACTGTGGGTGGTACTCTTCCCTACCTGCCTTTGGTGGGGTAAGGTGGCTGTTTTGCCTGTTTGTAAATGAGGGTAGCCATTTTGTATTTTATTTTGACTCGAATCTCGGTCTCTTGACTACCTTTCCGGAAAATTTTTTTTTCTTGGAGACCATTCGGCGCCCCTCTGCGAGTGGCGTCCGGTGCATGATGCGCCTTTGCACACCCATTGCTAAACTACTGTATATGATAGTAATAAATTAGATTTAAGTTACAGAGAATACGAGTATATCCTTGAAATTAGTTCAGATATGTTTGAAACTAGATTTTCAACAATGTCTATAGATAAATTTTTTATCAAAAGAAAAAATGGATATCTATTTCTGTACGAGAAAGCAATGAAAATATTAGTCCCATATGCAACAGCATATGCATGTGGAGCGGGATTTTCAACTATGACAGTAACAAAAAATAAGTTTAAAAATCGATTTTCAATTATTTCACCGCTTCGACTCGGCTTGACTAATTTACAACCCATAATTGAAGTTAATTGAAGAAGAGCAGCAGAAATCTTTTCATTAGCAATGTACCATATACCAAATAAACAAAAATTTTAAATTTATAATTTTTAGTAATTATAGGATTGATATCTTTTTTTTTTGTTGTTGTGTACTTATATGCAATAAATTTGTGATTTTTTCAAATAATTTTTTACGATTTTTTATTTTTTACAAGGGCTCGTATTTATTAATAATTATAATTAAAAACAAAAATAAAAATACACTTTTAGTAAATACTATTAATTTAATTTTTTAGTAATCATAAGACTAATATTTTTAAAGTCCTATATGCAATGTTTTTGTGATATTATCATGGTTTTCTGTGATTTTGTCAAAGATTTATTTATATAAAATAATTGTAATAATTATTTATATTTACATTTAAATATTATTGTAAGTAAATTATAATAATAATTTTACAATTTACTTCTGCAGTAATTCTTTAATATCTAGTAATTTTTTTTATTAAAACACCACTGGTCCACGAAATATTTTCACAAATTTTAACATTTCGCGAGCCAAAAAAAGTTGACAAACGCTAGTTTAGATTGTTAAAAAAAAAGTGAAAACTAATTAAAGTTTTGAATAAACTGAATTGTTATATTAGTCTATTTAGAACATAATTATTATTTGAAAAACTGATCGTTTTAATTTAAATTAAAATTTTATTAATGTACTTCATATAATAGACACATAAAATGTGTGTCTATTATATATATTGAACCAGTACCTGGTAAGAAGTAACTTTGTACTTCATATATCATCAAATGACTTTAATTAGTTATTTAATTAATAAAACGATATAATCGAATTTTTATCAGATTTTACAATCATCCGTTAAAAATATGGATGAATCCTTTTATTAAATTACAATTCTGATTAAAAACTAAAACATGACCATTGAGAAAGTATAGTTGGCTTGCAGTTCAAAAAATCCAAGTACTAATTTTAATTATAATTATTCTTTAATGTCTGTTTCTTATCATTCTATTAATTAATAAGACAAACTTACAGTAAAAACAGTTTAAATTATTAAAAAAAAGAGAAACATTTTCCCAACATCTCAATTAGAATCTCATATTACTAAGCCTTATTGCCATATTTTACTTATTATGGTATATTATAAGGCCTCAAACTTCACATATAGATTATTATAAAGTAATATTTATAAACAAGTTAAAAACTTTTCATATTTTTAATAATAAAGATTAATAATATAAACTAAAAAAATACAAATTGCCATTTTTTAAAAATTACTTTAAAAAGACTATTAATAATAATGAATAAAGTAAAATGAATTACTAAATTTGTAATTCATATAACAACAACACAGGCTAAAATTCAAGCATTTTCTGCCATTCCATTAACTCGTTTCGAAAATTCGCATAGAATTTCGGTTGAAATAAATCTGTCAATATTCTTACCAAGCATATATACGATGAACCAATCTCCTACAGACAATCGCTTAATCAACAATTCCAAATAAGTTTCCTGTACAAGCCTGTAACGTATGGATAAGATATACAATCTCATCTTTCCACTTGTTATTAAAATAATACGGTATACAACAGATATGGCACTCAATAAAATTAAAACGATAAACCAGAACCATAAAACTATAAAAATCTTTTCGTTAATTACATTTAAAGGTAACATACACAAATTATCAATTTTTATTATATTACCGGACAATCCATAATAGTAAAAAAAACATTTGCTCATCCTTGGGAACGTTTCTAGCATCGGATTTATTAAATTATCATCATCGTTCATGTTATATTTAATTACTTCTATTCCGTAATTTAAGAATTCGCCATTTAAAAATACATCAACCAAATACATTTGAGAAATGGCATTAATTAGACACAGTAATTCACAAGCAAAGTAACGAAGAGCGTAACAATCGTGACATCCCAAACTTTCGTGTAAGAACTTAACTACAGCAGCATTATTTTCCCGCTTATGAATTTCTTCGCACATGATGTTGTCACTCTTCAGACTCAAAGTCTGAATTAAGCCACTTTCGCAGTGTTTCCACACCCGTCTTGGCACGTAGAAGAGGAAAGATTAAAGAAACAGGAAGAAGCAGACCCATTGATAATATGTATGCTGATAGAAATGTTCTTGGTTTTCATATTTTGAATTGATTCCGGGAAAAATGCTTCCTTCTTCGCTCATATTTGGCTTTTTTACTGTAAATGTGCCGCGAATCCAACAGTAAGTATCCATCACGTGTTTATCGATGTTTTTCTTTCCATACAGAAAATGGGTTCACCGACATATTGCGTTGCTGATAGAAAGGCACAAAAAAAAGTAATATAACCACAGTATAAATATAATGGAGACGAAATACAATGCTATCTATCACTATTCTGTTTATTCTCACTAAGTTCTTTACCACATCAAATTTGAAAACCTTCAACATTTTTCAAATTAAATCTTTTACTGAAATGTCTTGGCGCGAGACTAAACCAACGCCCTCTTAGGTTCTTAATTAGTCAAATTGAATATTTTATTTTAAAATATGTTTAAATAAAAAAATTTAAATAATTTTTTACGATTTAAATTTTATTTTATGAAATTAATTATTTATAAATGTTTAATTCTATTAATTAAAACATTGTTAAGGTATTTCGGTAGTTTGTTTTTTTATTAAACTCTTTCCACCTTGTGGACATTAAATATGTAAAAGTGTAGATAATCAAAAACTGAGAACATCATTGATAAAAGGACATTTTAAGAAATGGATCCTGAAAATTTGAAAGAATTTCAGTGAATAGTTTTTGAAAAATCGTAATTTTAAAATATAAAAGCTTATATCATTGAAGTACTCTCGTTGGTTGTCGAGACAACTGAAACTCGTCATTTGCCGCAAGCGGGAATTTCAAGGCTATTCCTACTGATTTATAGAAGACTAATTTAACTGTAGCAATAGTTGTTGAAATAAAAATAGATATCTGCATGCCAGTAAAAGTATCGGAAAGGTGTCAAATATATCTTTAAACCCTAGTGTATTAACTGACGAATCAACTGCTGAGATTATGGATTTCGAGCCACTTTGACGACGCATAACGTAACGTTACGTGTAACGTTAGTTACTTTAGTAACGTTTAGTAACTTTTAATAACTAAAAGTTACTAAACGTTACACGTTTAGTAACTTTAGTAACGTGGGCGTAACTTTAGTTAAACATGCAAATACATAATAAATAAAAAAGTTCTATCATCCAGACTTCATCAAAAACTCTCCAGGATTCTTCAATAAACAGTTATTTGATAATATACAAAGTACTTTAGTGAAATTTTAATTTAAATTAAAACACGACCAATTTTTCAAATAATAATAATTTTTTAGTCTAATATAACAATTTAGTTAATTCAAAACTTTAATTAGTTTTCATTTTATTTTAACAATTTAAACGCTTAATTTACTTAATTATTCCTGGGAAGTTCAATTATAAATTTTACATTCAATTTTGTTATTTATACGCCTATATATTTAATGATCATTTATTATAAGATATTAAATCGATACTCTGAGACAATTTTCTAAAGTTAAATAAAATAGGTTTGTTTATGAGTGTACAGTATAAGCCTATATAGTATTTCGAGACATATTACGACACAATTTATTACCAAATCAAGTTTATTTAATTATTTAAGTACACAGAATTAAATTTTGGTTTTAAAGTATTCAACTGTGCAGTCATTCAATTTCACATAGAATCGGACAGCTGGTGTCGAAATACCTGTCACGTTTGTTCCTTCTGGAAACATGATTATTAATTTAAAACGCGAGCTATTTTTAACTGCTTTCCGCGCAAAAATTAACGTGTAATTTTTAAAATGTGTATTCGTAAGATGAATATTCCAAGTTCCGAAAGTAGGTCAAATTAGTGATACCCATTACCTCCTACAGTCACAAGACAATAGGTTTCTGATCAGTTTAGTCCATAGATGAAATTTCATTTAAATTAAAATTTTAAACAAATACATACGTACAATAATTCTTTATTAATAAAAGATGTTAATAAAAATAAAAATTTCCATTCGCCCGTCAAACTATACTAAACATTTCTAAGAAATCTGAAACACCTGCAGACCCCCCACAAGAGTTTCTGTTCAAACTTCTATATGTTATCATCATCTGTTTATCATATGTTAATTTATCACCAACATATGATAAATTAACGTTTTAATAGAATGATAATTAAAGCAGAAACTTGTTAAAAAAAACTAAAATATTACAAGATTTTAATACATTCGAACGCGTGTAACGATAATTACGATACACGCAACAACACTTACAATTTAAAATACAGTATTACACGCATATAATATTTTAATAATGTCTTGTAAATTGTTACAATACGCAAATATATTAAATATTTTTCCTCTTTTTAAAATTTTTTAAAATAAATTATTGTTTATAATAATAGAATTGTATACATACATTTATTTATATATGTGTATAATTTTAAATTAATTAATTATTTATAATTTTATATTATATGATGATGACTATTATAAGTCTATATATTATATGAAAGAAATTTTATTCATTTAATAATTTGAGAAGATACATGTTGAAAAATTAATTTTTTTTAAAGTAGAAAATAAACAGGAAGAAAATGGATGGAAAATATATTTAATTTTCTAACATCTTTTGATAAAATAACAAATTTAATGATTGCCGATTATAAAATATTTATCGTTTTAATTATTGAATAGTCGAAATTACGTTAAAAAAGTTATTATATATGTATATACTGTTAACTTGTTTGAACGGATAAATAAAAATATTAAGTCCGATAACGTCGGCACTATTAACGACCATATTTCCGTTGTTTCTTCACACTTTATCACAATAACATAGAAATGACTTTGTATTTTTGTAGATCAAGCTTGTGTGAAACTCTTTTTCCGACAATTTTTATCAAACAAATTAGTTTTCTCTGCTGCTAGACTAATTCATTAATGACTGGGATAGGGTATTGATACAGTATTTTCATAAACTCGCGGGAATTATAATTTATATAATTATATATAAAATAATTAATAAATATATAATAAATATATTATATTATTTTATATAATTATAAAATATAAAACAGTATAATAAATATATAAAATAATTAATATTTGTCTATCGAATAAATTAATCAGTAATTTTTTCTAAACACCAGGGGAGTGTGCTTCAGATGTGACCTAGTTTGACCTAGAATTCTAGGTATGTGACTGCTATTCGAACCAGCTTACACACCAAGAAATTATTTAATGTTTTATTTCATTCCGATGGATTTTCCGGACTAGACGACGTAAAAATAAATGGATTTTTGATAAATTAGTTTAAGAAACAATTATAGTACGATTCTAAGTAAAATTTTGAAACACAACAGTCTTAGTCATACATTTGTAATAAATAAGAAACATCGATTTTGAGCGCAAAATATTGCAATTTGAAAAAACAACATTAAATTGTGAAATCTATAATGAAATAAATAATTTATTATGAAACTACTGTTTTTAACGTTATTGTTTGTTAAAATAATAAACTGAACGTATTAACATAATTTTAAATGTTATTTCAAAGATTGTAAATATGTAAAACTTTTTATTAAAAAAAATGGAGTATGTAATTTTTTTGGTTTTATTCTATTTCTCCTTTCATTCATTATTTGACAAGCTTTCGAAAATGTTCTCTCTGCCCGTACCAAAACTGAATACTGACATCAAGCAGTCATACTTATGATCACTTCCAAAAACACATGCTTAGACAATCACTTATATTTTCCTTTGTGTCTGTCACAGTATGATGCATGTGATCTAATAAGCTTCACTAAACTCTGGTGACAAAATGAATAACTAATATAATTGTTTAGCCCGCAAAAAGGCAAAGCTGCTTTTCATTCTTTGGAAGGAAAACACGGCACCCAAGAGGTTAATAAATTTAAGTCCTAATTCTCTTTCTGCGAACGAATTTGTGTCCCTATTAACCACGAGTCATTTCACATTTGGGAGACTTTTGTTATTAAAGAATTTGACCCTGCAGTAAAACAGGTGGTCACATGAATATTCCAGGTTCTATTTAGTTTCGTTCATAGATAAATGTTAATTAGTTTATTTATGTTAAAATTTTTAACAAATAAAGTACATACAATAATTCTTTATCAATAAAAGATGTAAATAAGAATAGAAATTTCCTTTCGCCCTTCTAGGAATCAAAATCTGTAGATCCCTTACAAGTTTCAGTTGGACACTACATTAACTCTTATTGTCAGAAAAATTCTTAGATATATAAACAGATGACATCGGGTTATCGGGTTATCTTTTTGCAATATATGTCAAAATTTTAAATTTGTCTGCATAAAAACATATGGAAATTTCACTGTTCGAATTTCTATATGTTATCAGCTCGTTGAAGAGCGCAAGACNTTTCCTTTCGCCCTTCTAGGAATCAAAATCTGTAGATCCCTTACAAGTTTCAGTTGGACACTACATTAACTCTTATTGTCAGAAAAATTCTTAGATATATAAACAGATGACATCGGGTTATCGGGTTATCTTTTTGCAATATATGTCAAAATTTTAAATTTGTCTGCATAAAAACATATGGAAATTTCACTGTTCGAATTTCTATATGTTATCAGCTCGTTGAAGAGCGCAAGACCATCAACATGTGATAAATTAACGTTTTAATAGAATGATAATTAAAGCAGATATTGAAAAATAATTATAATTATAATTAGTACAGTACTTGGAATTTTTGAACTGAAAGCCAACCATGCTTTCTCAATGGTCATGTTGCTTCAGTGTCTTATTTTTAAATCAGAATTGTAATTTAATAAAAGGATTCATCCATATTTTTATCGGATGATTGTAAAATTTGATAAGAATTCAATTATATCGTTTTATTAATTAAATAACTAATTAAAGTCATATGATGATATATGAACTACATTAATAAAATTTTAATTTAAATTAAAACACGATCAGTTTTTCAAATAATAATTATTATCTAAATAGTCTAATATGACAATTTAGTTAATTCAGTTTATTCAAAACTTTGTTAAAAAAAAGTGAAAACTAAAGTAAACTAGCGTTTCTCAATCTTTTTTTGGCCCGCGAAATGGTAAAATTTGTGAAAAATATTTCGCAAAGCAGTGATGTTTTAATAAAAAAAACTTTACTAGATATTAAAAAATTACTACAGAAGTAAATTGTAAAATTATTATTATAATTTAC